AAGAATTCCTCACAACCTAACCCTAAATGGAACTCTCTACACTACTTTGAACCTCTCTAAAATGATGAAACTTTTCTAAAATTACTGAGAGAGTCTTCTAATTTTCGGGAGTTTTCCCAAGAGTTGTCTAAGCATCCCTCCAAAATTCGTTTTCATCCAATACATTATCGAACATAACCGCCGATCTCGCCGTCGGCGGCCTCGTACATTATTGAACATAACCGCCGATCTCGCCGTCGGCGGCCTCGAGGGCGCCGCCGGCCGGGGCCTCAAAATTCTTGTGGCGGGCCTCTAAAATATTTGATCTGGGTCTCAGGAAAATCTCGCTGTCAGCGCCGTCTAGCTCGCCGTCGGCGCCCTAGTTCAAATCTCCACATTTTTGTCATTTTCGTTCCAAATTTGCTCATTTTTGCATTTTTTTGCTCCAGTGACCATAATTCATCCTTCCTGCAACAAAACATCAAAAATACCTTCTTAAAATGCAATATCATCAAAATCAGTGTAAAATAGGTATGAAAATCTCAACATATTTTCTTTTGGTCATGTCCCCATTTAAGCGGCACGTTGACAAAATCATGGTCTTCACACTAATTAAAGTGGAACATCTGGTTTTGGTGTTCATATAATGCAAAATCTAAAATAAGATGCACAAAAATATTCACAACAGACCATAATTTGTAGATTACATCATTTAATTTTAAATGTAGATTGGTCTTTTATGCAAAACAAAAAAGCAATCAGAATTCCCTCAAAATAATAATTTAAGAGCAATAAAAATCTGAAATTACACCTGAATCTAATGACAAAAAAAGCCATATAGTGACTTAGGATTCAAACTACCAAAAATGGCAAATAATGAAACTGAACAAAACAAAATCACAAATGTAAAATCTTAGCCATTGATGAAACAAAAACCTGTCACAAATGTTTGTATTCATAAGTCATAATCAATGTCATTAAGTGTTGAAGGACGAACTTCCAAAGCACTTGAAGACAAATAACTTCCTGGCCCATTGTTCAACGATCTCCAAATAAAAGGAAAAAAAATTTGACCCCAACAAACCGAGAAAATAAACACAAACCAAGCAGAGCATAACAACCGACAACGCAGACCAAGCAGAACAAGTCGGCATTGTCGATGTTGTATTCTCGTCGAAGCAAAAAAGACAGATGAAGCGCATGTAGACAAAACCAAAGACAGAGTAGATGCAGATGGCACTGTTTGAAGCGGAGGAAAACTTGCATGAAAAAGAAGAGGCCTTCGTAGGAAGCAGTCAAAGTCATTGACCTACTCGTAGGAAGCAGTCAAAACCGTCTACCTACTCGTAGGAAGGCGGCAAAACAAGCAGATAATGTCATCGCAGGAAGTAGTCGAAGATGTTGACCTAAGTAGGCAAAGACGTCAATGATGATGTCACAAGACATTGATGACCACTTCGCAGGCAGCAAACGAAGCCGAAAGGAGACGATCACAAGAATTAGTCAAAGCAAAGACGAACAACTCAAAGAAGTTTTGTACCATGTAACGGAAAAGACTTACCTCTATCTTATTCACAATTTAAAACATATGTGACATATTTATACACACTTTCAACTTTCTAGATTAGGAATAACTCTAATATGGAAGAGATCATATAATTATATCTACTCTAATTAGGTTGTCTAATACCAAACTTCCTAATATTCACACTTCCTAAATACAAGGTTCATATTCATGACTTTCCATAACACAAACAAAATAAAAAATAAAAAATAAAATACAATAATAAAAAATGATCCCAAACAACCCCTAAATATTCACATTGGTCTAAAGAAAATAACCAATATAAGTTTTGTAAGGCTTCTCTTTGCTTGAAAACCTTGACAGGAAACCTCGTCTTCTTCCTTTTGTTTTGCATGACAGAGACGAACTCGCCCCTCTTTCTCCTCTTTGTCGAGCTTTCAAACGACCAAAACCACATGACTGAAGCCAACCCCATCCTCGTGATCCCGATCGCAATGCCTCACGATGCGTCACAATCTCATTCATCTTCGCACGCCACTCCAGTTAAAACCCCTTCACCATGATAGTCGCAATTAGAGCAAACAGGAAAGCAAGCAACAATGGGATTGCAGCATACAAAGAGATCTTTTTCTCCTTATACTCTCATTCCAGCCCACAAAAGCTGCAATGATAGTTTCATTTTCGATCTGACCCAACTAGAAGCAAAAAGTGGACATTTTCCCTTCGCTCCTCCCTGGTCTTCTTGTTTGAAAACATCCCAGCCTGCTTAGTCGCTCGACGTTTAGCTCTATTGTTAGAATCATAAGCTTCTTGTCTGCCTCACACATGACCCAAGTTGAGAGTCTCTTCTTAAAGGTTGGATTGGGAAATGAATTCTTCCCGAACATGCGCAACTTAGAAAACTCTATTTCATTGAAATCCTTAGCTTTACACACTAAAGGATATATGACATAACCACGCCAAACTTATAGCAGTCTATAACCCCCTTCTCAGGGAGCTTTCACCACCACGCAATCGAGTGAGGCCAAATGCCATCCGGTGATACTTTCATTTTTTATCAGACCCAACTAGCCACAAAAATTGGACCACTTCACCATGATAGTTGCAATTAGAGCAAATAGGAAAGCAAGCAACAATGAGATTGCAGCATACAGAGAGATCTTTTTCTCCTTACACTCTAATTCTAGCCCACAAAAGCTGCAATGATACTTTCATTTTCGATCTGACCCAAATAGCCGCTAAAATTGGACCTCTTCCCTCCGCTTCTCCCTAGTCTTCTTGTTTGAAAACATCCCGGACTTCTCAGTCGCTCGACATTTAGCTCTATTGTTAGAATCGTAAGCTTCTTGCCTGCCTCACACATACCCCAAGCTAGGAGCCTCCACTCGCCTAAATCCCTCTCCTCTCCACTATCCAAGCACCTGAATTGAGACACCCATCCCTCATTACCTCTCTCTCTCTCTTTCCTTACATTATATACTATATTGTTGTTCTAAAAAAAATCAAAAAATCAAAAAATCAAAAAAATATATCGTGTATTTTCAATTTGTCGTCTCGCGTGGTCAACACAAGAAAAAAATCAGGGTAACTTTAAGTGCTTGGGCTTCTATTTTATTTCAAATTCAATTAAAATTATAAATTTTAAATTATGATCATGTTTAAAGATGATTTAATGAAAATCCTAATTCCTACAGCAAATAAATCATTATGGTTTTTTTAAAAGCAAATAAATGCTTATGTGATCTACTTGAATACATAAATTAGAGCTAAGCTTAAAACATAAATGTCATTTTTAAATGCTAAAATAAAGACCTAATATATTTTTCGCCACCAAATCCTCAATGATGGTTGTGTTCAATGAAAATCTCAACTGAAAGAGCCAATTTTTAAACTAAATCAAATTTTTCAAATCAAATTCTTAAGAAAAACAAATAAAAATATTCCAAACAATATCAATCACTTCAAAGCTTAAAGCAAACTCCATGCACTCTCTGTAATAATTTATTAAGGTGACAAAATTTTGATTGATTTCAACTTGTAAAGAGTGAATGTTACATCCGAGTGTAATATTATATTCATATTAAAAGTAATCTCATGCTAGTAAATACATGATATTCGTATAATTTAGACCAACGTTTCCTAAAAAAAGTAATGATTACGACCATAGACATCAAACCAGGTGATTTACCAGAAAATGACACCAGTAAATTATGATCTCAGCCATAGCATGTATATTTCCCAACACTTTTTATCCATTGAGCTAAGAATCATAATGTAATATTTAATTAGAATAAAGTCTTCTATTAGCTAACATACTTAAATTTATCCTCTTAGACAAGCATTCACCCCAAATCTACAAAAGTCCCTCGGACGATGCAACACATGATTACTAAACAAAGATTGGTTAGGTCGACTACTCTTCAGATTAAGTAGATCAAGAACCATGATGACCCAGGATGAAGGAACTGTGAGATCTTGACCAGGTTCAACATCATTTCCCCACCATCCGCTTTACGCTCAATGTGATGAATTGAACAACCTAAAGCCTATATTTATTGCTACTATACTTCAAATATTTTTTTGCTTAATGACTAACCTTAAACAAAAGTGCTCTCCCATTTCAAAAGGGGTAGTCAACCAAAGAGGCTTGCACCTATGGGAAAACCTCGAAGTTGGATCAACAAATCCTCACAAAATGAGGATGAAATCTCTGGCTATTATTTTATCTACAATTCAATCTGTCTTCTCAAAAAATTGACCCGAAATACCACAAACAGAGCTCTCATCAAAAACAAATCCAGGGCTAAATTATTGGAGCCAAAATATCTTCAACAAATAAAATATCACATTCCTAATTCGTGCTTGCACAATTAACAAGACAACTTTTAGCTTTTATGCTACAAATTTGCTCTTACTGAATATCAAAATACACATTTCTGCACATAAAAAACAAGTTTCAAATTAGGTATCCATATTATAAAAAGCTTATCAAAATGAATAAAATGCTAAATCTGCTAGAGAAACTAAATTAAATAAAGTTAATAATCTAATAAAAACTTTTAATCAAATTAAATCATGCTAAAGTTTCAAATTAGGTACAATTAACAAGACAACTTTTAGCTTTTATGCTACAAATTTGCTCTTACTGAATATCAAAATACACATTTCTGCACATAAAAAATAAGTTTCAAATTAGGTATCCATACTATAAAAAAGCTTATCAAAATGAATAAAATGCTAAATTTGCTAGAGAAACTAAATTAAATAAAGTTAATAATCTTATAAAAACTTTTAATCAAATTACATCATGCTAAAGTGGAGGGTTGCGTTAGGTAGTATGCAGTCAACCAAAAATTTGTGTCAAAAAAATTATGACATGAATCCTTTAAATCATGCTCCGCTTAGTAGGATAAAACTTGTTGTTGTTGTTGCGGTGCATCATGTTAAAGAAGTACTTTACGGAACAAAGCACACACAAGTGCATTCAAATCAGTGTATGATATGCATGAACATCGATATGGTCACATGAAAGTGCTGAAAAAAATATGTATATCTGGCTTAAGTAATACTTACCACTAAATCTTCCATTCCCCTGTCCGAGGTTAGCCTCCCGCTCCTTCGTCTCATCTACTACAGTAGTCTCCAGCTCAAGCTTCTCTGCCTGCAGTGCAATACACCATAATCAACTCTCATTCTCAACTTAGATTCTTGAACGGAAAGAAAACATCAGTGAAAAAAGCAAATAAGCAGCAGATGCACAGACTGTTAACACAATATTCATTAAATGTGGAAAGAACGATATATTGGCAGATGAGGGCTTTATTATAATATGGTGAAATAACTTGAGTAAAAAGTGAACTTGCCATCAATGAACACAAAATTCTTTCAAGTATTAGTTTTGGTTAGCTTTAGGCAGGGTTATTTTTCTACATTGGCTAAATCAGAAAAAACCTGCATCTGCTTTATTATAGAAATTATTCAAAAACATTTAGGAAACTCGGTGAAGAGGAACAAGCTTGGAAATATGGCTCCATATTTCAGCACAGAATAAAATAGCTTCCAAAGGCTGTAAGAAGGTTGAGGAAATGAAAGATTTTTCATCAGTAATAAACAAGCTGAAGCTTAAATTATCAAAAATATAAAAAACGGATGGAGTTCTAATTGAATTGGTATCATGAATTGTCGCTAAAAGAATGAGAAGTGTAACTAAATAGCTGAAAGAAAATATAATTCCAAGTGAATTGAAAAAACAAAGTGTCGTTAAATGTAGAATTGCAAACTAAAATCACTGAATGTTCTCCTATGTCATAAAAATAAATAAAAATCTTATTAGCTAGGAAAAATGATTTTATGTCAATAATTATAAGAACCCAAATGGTACAATATTCCCAAGTTTTTATAGCTGCATGCTTCATTAAAAGGCATCTAGCAAGATCAAAAAAATAAAGGGCATTTACATACAAACCACTCACTTCTAATGTATTTACATATCTAAAACCTAAACCTTAACTTTTTACATATGTGCCACCTTATCAATGAATGAAAAGGTGAATTTCACATTTTAGAAGTTAACATATTGGCATTTTTTATGTGATGCCACCAAGATTTTCATATCACATAAAAATGCCACTGTTTTCACATCTAAAATGTGAAATACACCTTTTTCATGCATAGATAAGGTAGCGCATATGTAAAAATTAAGATTTAGGTTTTATATATGTAAATACATGAGAATTGAGTGGTATGCATGTAAATCTTCCATAAAATAAAATATACCTCCAACTGTCTTAGCGCATCAAGCAAGACAACATGTTTATGTTGAAGACACCTCAACTGATTTAGTAGCTCAGATGTTTCGCAAACAACAATAGACTCGCATTCTTTTATTACAGATTCATCCAACCCTTCCTCCAATAACCGAGTACGCAATTTCTCCGTAGAAATGGCGACATCTACAGTAGATGCAAAGTCATTTTTCGTCGGAAAACGAGGAAACATATCCATTGCCAAATGCAGAGCTTCGATCCACAAACTTCGGTCCTCCCTCGAATCGCAACGTAAATGAAGGGTCTTCGTTCCGGTGAAAATAGACAACCGTTTATCATCCGACTTGCTTGAGCGAATCGAAGAAACCTGAAAGTCGTGTTCACTGCACACGCGTCAATACAAATAGCTTTGTGATGATTAAAATTCATCATGGATATTAAAAGGAACAAATTCGTCTGTTTTTTTATAAAAACAGAAACTATGAGATTGAAATTTGGCCACCACATAGAGATTATTCATTTTTTCAAGCATTCATGTGTCAAGGATATATCATTTAAATTGCAATTATACATATATATCACACAATTCTTATGTATTTACATATCTAAAACTCGAACTTTTATATTTACACTTGTAACATGTTGGTTTCATAAATATATACATGAAAATGTGTATTTCACTTTTTAAAAACAGTGATTGTAGTGTTTTTTTTTTATGCTATGTTAAAATTTGATTAGTATGCATGTAAATATGAATGTTTACATGTTAAAAAGGTAAATCCATAAGAATTATGTGATCTGTATGCAAATGCCCCTTCAAAGATATGTAAATCAAGAAGGCCCCAATGTGCCTTTTAAGTGATCCATTATGTCGGAGTATCAGAACCCACGATCATTTTGAACAGAAAAGAGTCCCATCAATATACTCAAAAGTAAAACAGATATTGAACAGAAAGGTAAGGTCTTGAAAACTCAACCTTCATCAAAACTAATAAAAAGAGATCTGAACATTTATATTAGTTCCATGACCAGATCAATATAGAAGCTTCAAATAAAGATTATATTTAATTTGGTTACTTGACCATATATACATAGCACACAATTCTTATGTACTTACAAATCTCCCTCCTAATCTTTCATATTTGCACACCTGGCACAGAGATCTTTGTTATCACATAAACAAAGCAATATTACCACTTCATAAAAGTGAAATACACCTTTTTTCATGCATGGATTTAAAAAACCAAAGTGTTATGTGTGTAAAAATGACAGTTTAGGTGTGAGAAATGTAAAAAACAACATAATTGGTGCTAGGTGTGTAAATTTTCCAATTTTCTTTTGGAAACAATATCAATTCAAGAAGAAACTTAACAAAGTTATCAATTCACCAACTCAGCCCGCAGATACCAAAGTTTCCTCGGCAGGAGCTGATAGAATAACAATGGTGGTTGCCCTAACCACATAAAAACAAAGTCCTCACCAAATTGATATATTTATTTCAAAAACATATAAGCAGCCGTAAACTTCGGCTAAAAGACAAAACAGCCATGAAACTGTGAAAACGACATTTATCCAGACTCTCATGGATAATCCTAAATACCACTTTCAAAGTTTCAGAGCGTGGAAATGCTTTTGACCTAAAAAGATGAAGTGGATCTGCTCCATGTATATATATCTGTGGCATAAAATCGCACATGGTAGAATATATTTCGGTTGAAAATGTAAAGAAGAACAGAACACGATTAAAAGAACGATGAGCTCATGATTCCATCAGCCAAACCTTCAAATGAATCTCCCCAAACGGCTTCCACTGCTTCATATCTCCGTTTCCCGCCGCTTCCGCAGCCCGCTGTTCCCTCGTCACCCTCCGAAGTGAGCCCTCGCCGATCACCCGCACATCATTCGCCTCGCACGCCGACCCCACAAAGATCTTGTCCGGCCCATGCAACTTATAATAAGACAAAACCCCATCCTGGAGCACGAACCACCGCGATCTCCACCCTTTCCCGTAGTTCACCCACTTATACAAAATCCCCGCCACCTTTCCATTCATAACGCCACCACACCTTCCATCTCTTCCATCCGCCGGACGAGTGGTCCCTTCCTCCGCTTCACTGCACTGTCCCAACTCCGGGTTCCCCGCCGTCGCCAACACCTGCACCGGCGCAAGCTGCTTGCTCGACGAGTTCCTCGCGGGATTGTCCAGCCCCGCCGTGGGTTTCACGTTCGCCTTCAGCGAAACAACCGGCGCACTGTCGCGATCCCCGCGCTCCAGAGAAACAGGCGCAATGCAGCAAAGCGGATTCATCGGAGTCAAAAGGCAAGAAGCAGCCAACAATATATGACAAAATGACAGATCGGAGATCACAAGTCTCCTGCTCCTATCACAGTACAGCACTCAAAACAATCCTATAAAACGCTATTCCCCAGCAAGCTCCGGTGCAAGAGCAGCAGATCGACGGTGATCGCCGGGAATGCCGTTGAATCGACAATCAGGGGGACGGATCTAAGACGCATAAAAATGGACAATGGTCTTGATGAGGCGGCATTAAAAGGTCCGTTGCGGGAGGCGAAGCGAAGCGCTCTTGCTCGACGGATCCATTAAAACCCTCAGCTGCGCCGCAGAGAGCCGAGCAGGACAGTACCCACTCCGCACTGAGAGGCTGCGGGTGAAAGACAGTGAGTACTCTCTCCATAGATCCCCTGGCTTCTCCTTTGCACCGAACACCGAAATGTTTAACAGGAGAAAGAGGGAGAAGCCTGCGATATTTGACACGTGGCGTATTTTGGGGCGTGGGTGCGATGCGCGTTGAAACCGGAACGTTTAGCATGATGCATGCTTTCCGGGGTCCAGTCCAAGCCTCTATTTTTATAGTTCATTTCCTCTATCGTCCAAGCCTCTATTTCTATAGTTCATTTTTTGTTCGGATTTTCATGTAGTCATACCTGCAGCGTAGATTATTTTTGAGTTATTTTCAAATTATTTTTAGATTATTTTCAATAATCCTGAAATAACTCTCGGTCTTTATTTTTTAGATTATTTATGAGTTATTTCGGTATTATTGAAAATAAATCAGAAATAATCTGAAAATAAATCATAAATAACTTGGCCGCACGTTGAACTACGTCAGGAGTCCGCACAGAAAAATTTTTGCTATTTTTATGACTATAATAAGAAATAAATCATTTATATTATTGTTATGTAAAACTTGTACCCAATTAGTCATTTTTTTACAGAATTTTTTTTAGAGAGCTTAATCTAAAAATTATTATGTTTGATTTTAATTTGTACATTGGTATTTGACGGGTGGCCCCACATATTTCTCTTAAACCTGCTTATAGTTTGATAGATTTGACCTGGTCCGACTTGCTTTGATTTAGTCAAAACCCGCAATAGCCAAACTTGACACACCACATAAGTCTCGAAAAAAAATTGAATTTATTTGGGCTGATTTATATACTACCACATAATTCTTGTTTGTGTAGTGTGTACATATCTCACACTTTAGATATGAATGATTTAATGTATTTGTTGATTTTACATTAAAAAAAATACTCAATTTTGCTAAAAGTTATATTCTTTTAGTATAAAAAATGATTGCTCTTTATATATTGCTTTATGTATTTCATCATAGGTTTGCATCCATGAACTTTAGATCCTAACTCTTAAGACATAATGTAATATCTTTTTTCTCATATGATCAAAATTAATTTTGTCATATTTTTAGCATTTTCGAGATTGTCACTCCCAAAGTTTAATTTTTGAAAAATTTACGTAATGGGCAGATTTGGCTATGATTTTTCAGATTGAAACTGACTTCAGCTATTAAAAGCCCGATTAAGACCGACCCATGTCAGGCCCGCCCTGCTTAAGTCTAGTGATGAAAAACCGTTCACCTGTTATATTACAAGTCGGGGGGCTCCGCCTCCCGTCTGAATGAAATAGTAGTCATGTTTGATAATAACTAACCCCGCTAACAAGGAATGCACTTAAAATTCACCTCCCCAAAAAATAATAAGAATTAAAGTTTTAAAAACTAAGAGATGGTCGAGATCGGTCGGGGAATGCATTTGATGGCCATGAATGTCAAAGCATTGTAAATAAAAAATAATCCATATTTGAATTTAAAAAAAAAAACATTTTAATAAAGTAAAATTAAATTGAACTTGTATATAATATGAGCTCAATGATATGATAGGGAAGTGATTTAATGAAGTACAAATAAACTCAGATCAAGCGCTTAATATGTAATGAAAAGCTTTAGAGGATTATTTAGAAGGTCAAACAAATTTTAAATTTTGGTAATCTTATAATCAACAAAGCGGCTCGATACTCCAACAAACTCGAGATCATTTAATTTTGAGGTCGTGAAGGCATTCAAATACTAAAAATCTATTTGTGATTAGAGCAATAAATATTTTTATTTTAATATTTATAATCTAAAAAAAATTTAAAATTTCTATTTATATAACCCTCAATATTTTCATTTATTATCAAACTGTCGCTATATATAGTTTTTAGAGTGAAATGTATGTTTTCTTGTATTCTTTTTTAGAGCATTAAAGTATTATATGTGTAAATATCAAAATTTTATTATTAGATATGTAAGTATGGAAAACTGATATAATATTGTTAGATATGACTCACATATCAGATAACATACAGATGCTGGAGCGGAACAGAGCGAGCCAGCGGCGGAGCTTGCAAGCGGGGTTGACAATGTGGTTCATATTTCTTCATTAATTGCGATTGAGATTCTATATATAGTCTTGTCCGACTCTTAAAAGAGGGAAAGAAGATGTTTGGAGCTCAAAGAAAAGCTTTGAACTTTAAGAAATAGTTGAAGTTTAACATCACTCTTGCAGTCGTTGATAACCACTAATTGTCATCGATCACCACTTGTCAGCTGCCTCCAATCACCATAGATCGTTGCCCACTCCTCATGACTAAGTACCATGCAAAGCAAGAACTGATGTCACGGAGTCACAAAGCAAACTGCGAAGCAATGCATCATCCTTAACGCTAGGCTGACCCTTAAAGACGGTGCAACAACGTACCCCTAAGTCGGTGTATCAATGCATCCTAAAGACAGAGCAACAAAGCATCTTGAATATGGGGTAACAATGCAGCTCACATATGTTTTTGTTGCTCCAACCCCTCATGGCCTTTGGACGTCATTACAATTCAACACTGCAACTTACATAGTTCACAACTCATGCAGCTCTTGTCTTTGGTCATGTGACCTACGAACATCATTACAACTCACCATTACGACCTATGTGGTCCATGACTTGTGCGCCTCCTGACTTTGGACCTAATGGCTCACATATGCCATGGTTCATAACTCTCGCAACTCCATTTTACGATCTCTATGGCCAATTGATGTTTTTAAAAGCAATCATCTATGGTTTTTTTAGCATTGCTTTTTTATGTTACAAATATCAAATGCCCCTGTTATGCTGTGGGAGCGTACGGTGCTTACGTTTGCCCTTCCATAGCTCGAGAAGTCTGTCGGGACGTAAGCAGATGCACGCTGTCTCTGGACCAGAGTCACCCCGTACTGATTGTGTCTAATAGCGACTGCCTTTGATCCGTTACAATTCCTCATTCAAGGGTAAGCCAAACAAGCATTTTAAAGCCTATGGGTCTGTTATGATCATTAAGAGCTTTCCGCGACACAAAAAGCACTCAACGAATCCCTGGAGCAAAAAAATGGCCTATAAGGGTTTGGTGAGACCATGCTCAAATCGGGCGTGGCCACACCTAACCCCTCCCCACAAAGGTTGAGGGAGTTACCTTCAACGTAGCCACACTTGAAGGTGGTGTGGTCATGCCACATGATAGAGCTCGTGACGTAATTATGTTGTGGGAGCCATGGTCAGGTCGGAACTCCCAACAGTTGTGCAAAGGCTACCTTCGGTCATGGTCGAAGGAGGTGTGACCACACTGCAAGACAATGTGCCTAACGTAATTACGTTAGGGAGTCGACGTGACCACTCCGACTTGTCCAAATTTAAAATTTTGGCCTGGCGGCCCTAGGGTGGCGTGCCACCCATAGCCAAATTTTCAAGCTCTCCTTGGGCTTGATGAGATCTCATAGGAATTATGAGAAGGCTGGTGGGATTAACCCTTTCTAGCATGTCATGAGTGCCCTAGATTGGTCATTTTTTAGCTTAATTAAGGGGTACTTTGGAGATTTTACATGGTGTGGCCAGGGTAAGCTTTCTTTCTTCCTCATTTGGGCTAGTTATGAGAGATAGGGAGAGCACAAGAGAAAGCCTCTTCCTCGTCTTTGAGATTTTTAGAGGCGCTTTAAATAGAATCTTTTGGAGCAAAGAGATTTGAGGAAGACTCTTCATCTTCCTCAAAGAGAGAAAAATAGTCTCTTCCCTTCTTCTCTGTCTTCCTTAATTTTCTCCCTTTTCTTCCATCATTCATTTGAGTGTGTAAGGAAAGGAGAGTTTTGTGGGGAAGATTTTGGTTAGCAAGGGAGCATCATGCCCACTCTCCTACACTAAAGGAGTGCTTCATTTTGGCTCGGGAAAGGATCAACAGAGCTTCGTCGGAGCTCAAAACTTCATCGGAATCTCACCGGGCTCTCCTTCTAAAGGATAGCTTCTTCATTCTTTGGAGAAGGAGCAGAGCAGACCTTTCGAAGCATTGCTAGAATGTCGTCATCTCTCCTACCACATAAAGAGCTTCATCCTCGATCTAAGAAGTTGGGAGCTATACCGCACATTAGGCAACCTGAATACGACCGAGGATGAAGCACAGATGTGACACACCCAAATATTGTTCGAGCAGATATACTTGAACTATCATTGTGAGGTATATTGCACGTAAACTCTTCACTTTCTTTCTCTTGTTCGTCGTCTTTATCATATGTTCATCTTTTTATGTTTCACTCTTTTCTTGATCAATCACAAGACCCGAAAGAGGGACTTATTCAAAAAAGAGAAGTATGCGACAATGGATAATCTGACTACTCCTTTAAAAAAAAAGAAAGGAACAAAAACAAATATACCTAACCAACCGCTGTCATGGTTGTCAACTTCGACTTTTACGATAAGTCGGCACTGCAGCGACTGTCTACAGCACTCACGACAATCGATTATCGCTCATTCAACCTGCTCTCACAAAGAACTGCAACCATACTAAAAATATACAACTTTGTAATTCCATCTTTCATAATTTAGAAGAAGAGCGAACAAGTTAACTCACCATTTACAATGAATTATTTCAATTGGGCTAGTTCTTATGGTTTTTTCTATTTCAAGAGTTTTTGAAGTAAAAAAGTCGACGTGTCTTCTCATATTTATTTCTATTTAATTACCTAACAATGTACTGGCTTTTTGCACCATGCTAAGATGATAATCATTTACTCAAATGCCGCAAATATTCTAGTCTGCGTTAGAGTAAAAAATTATCGTCTTAGCATTGGACGAAAAACCAAACGAGTCAAACACAAGCGAACAAATCTTTGTTCATGTTCGACTCATTTATAAATCAAAGCTAGAAAAATTATTCATGTTCAACTCGTTTACTTAACAAATAAATCGAACATAAACTATTTAGCGAGCCAAATAACAAATAAATCAATTTTTTCGACAGCTCTATTTCCAAATAAACTATTATGAGGTCACATAAGTTTCCTATGTAGTCAACTGTTAACTCATTTATAGGAATAAATATTACATTAGTACTACACATGTAGAAGTAACGTGCGTAGCCAATGAAATAACGCTACGATACCCTGCACGACAAGAAAAAAAAACGGCGCAGTAATACGGGGAATATTCTCCCATGTGTTATTCATGTGTTATTGCGTGTTATTCATGTGTTATCGTTTGTTATTCATGTGTTATTGTGTTATTACAACACAAAAAATATTTTCATGACACAATAAGACATGAATAACACACAATAACACCTCAATAACACAGGAAATATTTTTATGACACAATAAGACATGAATAACACACAATAACACCTCAATAACACAGGGAATATTCCCCACAGAGAAAAAAGGACGCAATAACACAGGAGAATATTCTCCCCCGTGTTATTCATGTGTTATTGTGTATTATGCATGTATTATTCATGTGTTATTGATGTGTTATTGTGTTATTATAACACCAGAAATATTCTCAGGATATAATAACACATGATAATAACACATGAATATAACACATGAATAACACACAATAACACATGAATAACACGGGGGGAATATTCCCCGTGTTATTGCGTAGTTTTTCTTTCTCTGTCGCGCGGGATGTCGTGGCGTAATTTCATTGACTACGCACATTACTCTACAAGCATAATACTGATGTAATATTTTTTTCATTTAAAGAGCCTACTAGTAGGGGCCAACACAAGAGTGGGATCGGCCGAAATAATTCCAAATTAGCAAAAAGGAAAAAAGTAAACCTATACCTGATCAAAATAATCTATAATATACAATCAATAAATACCGACAATCGGGATCTGCTGTGGCCGTAGGAGCTGCGCCAATGGAAGCCAGAACGTCGCAGCGAATGGAATCGAATCTAGCTCGGTGAGCTTGATCGGCCCGTGTCCCTGCCTCTCTTCCTTGTGTTCCACGCCTATTCCCTGTCTGCCATCTCCACCCTACGGTCCAACTCTCCAACTCCACCAGACCGCGCGCTCGCGCGTTCGCCCGCCACTGATCGCTTCCTCACTACGATGTGCGGATGCCCTAGAAGAAGGACTTTTCGGGATCTCGCAGGGATCCACATCTCTCTTCTTTTACAATGGACGCCGCTTCTCGACCCGCTGTGGTCATCGACAACGGAACCGGGTGTGCAATCGTTTTCTTTATCTCATGTAATTCGGATGCTGTTTGGATGTGTTTTGGGTTTTGTGGGGGGTGGGGATTGGGATGCACGATCTTTCTAGATCCGGAATTTAATGGCAATTGGTATTTGTTTGTGATGTGTTGAGGTTTGGGGGGTATTGAGCGGCACCTGTTTGAAGTAAGGCGAGTTAATTCCTTCAATGCTAGATGGTAGGGGGGCTCTTTTACTTTTTTCCAGGAATAGAAGGGTATGTTTGGTTGCAGATTATTGAAAAATTATGGCAATATAGGGCACTGTACTGCGGCAGCCATCTCTGTTTATCTGGATCGTGTCTCACATATCAATGGATGCTTTGTCTTGGGTCTGGCGATGGCAGTAGACGTATCTGGGCTCCATCATTTATAAGAAAATGGATAGATGCTATATAGCATTATAGCCTCTAATGTTAAGACTGCTTGGTTAAAATGGAGTAGCGCTTGAAAAGTATTATGTGGCAAGAGGATATCATAGAGACTTAAATGTAACGTTTATTGGCCATATTTAGGTTGATTATGCTGTATGTATCTAAAATTTAAAATAATAAAGAGTCATTGATAAGTCAAATGTGACAATGTTAAAATGGATGTGTTGTAGATTATGAAGGATGTGTTCAGGAATACTAGTTGAAAGGCTGGAATGACGTTCATTGAAGATAACATAGTTAAAAATAAACTCATGTGATTTAGACATATAAAATAAATGGTAGAAAGTACACTTATTAGATGAATAAATAAAATTAGCTTGAAAGGATTATGAAGGACAAATAGGTGATCCTGGTAACTGAGTAAACAGTTGTTTAATATGATTTTTGTCAGATGAGTTTAAGAGCTTATCCACAGGTAGAACTCAACAAGAAAGATTGAAAGGTGAGGATTAGAAAGCAGATTTTTAATAGTTGGTATAAGGCTAATGATAATGATGATACTTCCATTTGTGTGGGAGGTTTTCACTTGCTGAAGGTAATTATGAATACCGGCTTAAAAGGTGATTAGATAATTTTGTAATTTAGTGATACAAATGGTTTGATTAAATTTTGAATTTATATGGTATATAACTTGGGGGTCCTTTGTCTGGATAATTCATATGCAATATTGTAAGTTTATACTCATTGTTACATGAATTCGATGTATAAGATAGCTATGAAATGAAGTAAAATAAACTTCAAGCTAATTAAATGGTTAGTTCCTTTTTAGATATTCACAGTTACCATATGAAGGGAATTTCAAAATAGATGGCTATAACAACATTGATTTGTTTTGAAGGTTGTACTTCAAGTATGAGTCTAATTGGGTCACCATCATGCACTTTTGTAGACAAGCTACGGAGGAAAATCAGACATTAGGTTGGATGGTAACATCAGTCTTTAGGATCAAGGAAATAACATGGGCTATGGACTACTTATGTTATTTGAGTGTTATCTGTATCCCTGATATTTGACAAATTATATGAACAAAAAAAAATATTTTTTAACGTGGTTTATTCTGATTTTATTAAAAGCATAAATGAGGAATTTGTTATATGATTCTCTTTTAGCATGACATTATATATCATCTTCATGCTCTAACTTATAAACTCTCAATAAAATATTAAAATTTGACTTTTATCTCTTGAATTTTGAGGTTTGGTAAACATTAAAGCACCGTGTTGAATTGATTTTGCAAGTGCACCATAAAGATTTGCCTCTATTTTTTTTGGTCTTTGTATTCTTTAGTTTGTGATCATGTGATCTATAACTTATGAGTTAACTTTGTTTATTATCTATCTGATGTGCGTTAGAAAAGTCGTGACAGTAGAGTAATGAATTATCGCCTTAGTGTTGCACGAGAATTCAACACACATAGATAAAAGAAAAGAAGTAAGCAAAATGAGACACCTCGACTTTTTACATGAAAAATCATTGAAAGGAGAAAAACCACGTGACCTAGCCAAGTTGAAATAATCTACTATGAATGATGAACACACATGCCAATTATTTTTCTAAATTAGGGAAAATGAAATTACAAAGTTGTATGACTATAATCTGATTGCAGTTCTTGGTGACAGCAGATTGCAAGAGTCATTGTCGATTGTTGTGAAAGTAGTAGTCCGTCGTGAGTGTCGTAGATGGTTGCTCTAGAATCGTTGATTGGTCAAAGAAACCATATTAAGCAGTTGTGAGAGTTGTGGATCACATAGGCCATAGTGACGAGTATGAATGACGTACGTAAGCCGCAGGGGCTAGAGTCGGGAGCCGCACGAGTTGTGAACCTAGTAAGTCGTAGAGACGAGTATGAATGACGTCCGTAGGCTGCGGGGGCCGGAGTCGGGAGCTGCATGAGCTGCTAACCATGTAGGTCATTAGAGCGAGTATGAATGACATTCGTAGGCCGCAGAGGCCGGAGTCAGGAGCTGCATGAACTGATGACCACGTAGGTCGTTGTTGGCACATTGACTGTAGTGATAGGCTCGTCCCACAGACCCGAAATGTTTACTAATTTTCCAAGTTATAACATTGACTGACGGTGACAATGGTTGACAACGGCCGGCAGTGGTCGACAGAGGTCGGTGGCGACAGCGGTCGACGGTGATCGACGTTGGTCGGCGATAATGCTAAGTTGCAGCTCCTTCTAAAGGCATAAGACTCTATCTCTAGGCTTCAGCTCTCCCCTCATAAGAGGGGTGAGACTCTATTTATAGTGTTATGTGTGCAATTAATGTAGGAATATTAATCATTTTGATCGAACAGTCCAGAAAGTTCTCTCAATCAGACGACGTTTAATGAATATTTGAATGCCTCAATGATGTCAGAATTGAGTGATCTCGGGCTCATTGGATTTTTTCTTGTTGAGACGCTCAATTAGACTTTAAACTTGTCAGATTCGACAACTGATCGACCTTCCAAATGTGTTCGAAAATCCTTCAAAATGGGTTAATGACCTGATCTGGGCTTGATTTGACTCAGATTGGACTGACTTTGATATCATTAGGTCCGCCTCATCGAGCCGGTCAGTTTGACTATAAATTTGCTGAAATCAGAGCTCTGGATGAGTTTTTATCAAGGTTTGAACATTCCTTATTCAAAATATTGTCTCAAGATCCGTGTCATTCTTCGCGATTTGTGCCATATAATTAAAATTTGTTGGTGGCGTATCACTATCCATGCATTTTTGTTTTACAATAGTTTAATTTTTTTCCTATTAGCTTATTTTTATAGAGTTAAGTAGGCACAACACTTTTGATATTTTTGTTTTAGGAACAATATTTCACTGTTTTCTATTTATTTGAACATTTTATTGGGTTTCTTGTCAATTTAAATTTCTTTCTTACTACTTTAATGGAGATTGCCATCAAACCATATTTTTTTGATTTTCAATGTGGTGGATCTATCTTCTAATATTTTTAATTCATCAAGCTGAACAAATTATTATGATCTTTGAAGGACTATATAGTGACAAATTATGAGATAGAAGTATGACATTTATATTGCTAAGATTAGTGACATTGTAGTTCAGAAAGGCGTTTTAAACTTTATCTACCGCCATAATGAATTGTTTACAAGTTTTATTCTACCTATTGGGTATTAAGCTCCAAAATGTTACATTGGGGCAAGCCTTTGGTTTGGGATGTTCTTTTTTAATGCCATAATGTTATACGTAGACAATGAAATAAGTTAAACGAGCAAAATTAATAAGAATTGTTAGAAAAAATAATGCTTAGAAAAAGTTAAAGATAAAATAGATCAACAACAACTATTAAAGTCTGAAATTTACTCAATTGGAAGGCCTGGCTTGAAGCCTAATGAAAATAGCATAGCGAGGATGGTTTTTTTTTGTTCATGCTCCATGTAGTAAAATATGTATCTACATTGAGAGGGACCACTCCCATGGGTTTTGAAATTCCTTGTAATCGAATTCGACATCAAGTATAGTATATCACCCGAGGGATGAAAATACTATCCTATGATTAATTCAATCCCGACGCGATTGTTTCACTATTCCGTGGTGCTACGAAAATTAATTTTACTGCTATCATAAAATGATAGAATTTATTTTAATTATATGGTATGATATCCCTTAAGAGGTAAGCTCCTTTAGTTAATTGCATATTAAGAAATAATATTTTCACAAAAAAACTCTCGATTTAAATATTGACTATTTATTTTTGCAGAATTTAATGGTAGATATCAAGATTACTATTTGAAAATTGAAAAAGAAATGACTCAAATTTAAAACATTTTGTTATTGGAAGCCCAGGGACGAAGAATATAGAGCACCAGATACTTGTAAACCCAATGGTTATTCTAGTTTATTCTATGGCTGGACTTTATAATTTTGAAATTGAAATGATGATTTATTTGATTTGACAATTTTTTAGAAAGTTAGTACTTATATTCGATAGAACAAACCACTGAAAAGCCTAAGTTAGCACTGCGGTAAGGCCAACATGATAACCTCAACACCTATACTATGTTGAGTATTATAAATAAGCTATAAACTCAAACCTAATTTAGAGGTGAGATTTATTGGTTGCATTCCTATCGGGAAAAAAATATAACCTGACTCTGCTGGACTTACAACTCTAATGAAGTAGACTCTTAGCTTACCCTTGCACTTTAATATAATGAGGCCAGCCACATGTACGTTAAGAGTGATAGATTGTTGTTATTAAAAAAAAATTAGGGCAAAATAAATTTCTTTTTTTGATAACATAAACAACGCAACATATAAATGATAAACATCCTTAATTCGAGAGGTAGACGTTCTCTCCCAAATCCTATAATTTGAGAGGTATGAAATCTCTCCAAAGCCGTAACCCTAAATTAAAGGACTCAATCTCATGCATAATCGTAACCCTAAACATATCATTTCTATTTATGCTAACAACAACAATAATAATAAAAGACTAAGTTGCACTTAGGCTAATAAAAGACAAAATAGCCCTTAAGCACCGACGTAATAATACTCCTCTTCCAAATAAACACCTT